TTCTATTTCTAGTTTGATTTTTGAAATCAAACATTTTTCTCTCATTTTTTTTATTTCTTTTGGTTTCTATTTGTTGTTTAGTACACAAACCGAATTAATCGTTTTAAAAAACAATGAAGATTGTCCAACGTAATTTACCCTATAATTATTGTTGGAATAATTGTCTACTGAGGAGATTAGGAATGAGACTTGAATATTAGATGTAAGACGACCAGGAAAAGTAATAAAAAAGAAAGTTTTAAAATAAATAAATAAAAATTAATATATAAAGACTAAGACACATATAACTGATTAAATAAAAAATTATAAATTCATAATCTCCGAATAAAATATAGAGCTGTGGGTAATAAACTAAACTCTGGTTGTTGCGGGGTGGGGTTGCGAGTGACCTATATTAAGTCAAAAGCAAGTCAAAGTCGTTTCTCGCTCTCTCTCTTTCTAATTTCTGTGGTTGGTGAGGTCTGAGTGTATGGTGGCCTTTTCAAAATCACAATTAACATTTGCAAAATGCTTGGCACCTCAGTGGAGGAGACCTTTAGGATCCCAGCGGGTTGTTATTGATCAAGATTTTATTTATTTTTTTCCATCCAATCACTAACTGTCATGTGTGTGTGGAGTAGTGACAGGGAGAGATAGTGAAAGTCTATATTATTATTGTTAACATTTTCATAAAGTAATTCAGGACGTGGCATAGTCACATATGATCTGAGACACTTTTGACACAGAGATAGTAGTGCTTATTTGTAGGAGTATAAATCTGGCCCGGCTCATGTCGGGTCTTGTGGGTTTCAGCCAAAATTCAGGCCGGATTGGGCCGAGCCACGGGACAAAAAATTAAGCCTAGGCCCAAGCCCAGTCCCAGGCCCAAGGGTATTTGGGCCTTGGGCGGGATAGTGGGCCGGCCCAATGGGCTCGAGCATGGCCTCGGGCTTGTGCCGGACTTGGACGGGTCTAACTATTTTTTTTTTTGTTTTTTAAATTTTTTTCTATCAAAATTTTATTATTTTCCATTAAATTATACTGGGCCTTGGGCTAGCCGGGCGGGTTGGTCTTCGGGCAGGGCCCTAAGTGGGCCGATGAATTGGGCCACAGGCGGGGTCCATGGGCCGTGCTTCAAAAAAATGGACCAAGCCGTAGCCTAGGGGCTCGGACTGGGCTCGGGCTAGGGCCCAAGCGGGCCTAAATGGGCCAGGCCCATCTCGGGCCGCGGGTCATTTTTACACCCTAACTTATTTGGTAGGTTTGGAATATTATTTTATATTATTTATTTCTTGAAGAAAAAAATAATTTTTTGAAATACAGGGTGTGAGGTAAGAGAAGTTATTTGGTCATTCTAACTTTGAAAGACAAGGCAAGCAATGTGGGTGTTGTGATTTTTGAAAGTGTTGGATTAGACTTTTCTAATAAATTTACTAATTTATTATTCGATTAGTTTAGTAAAGATTAGATTAATAGTCAAATATATATATATATATATATATATATCATTTATATCTAAATAGTTTATTTAGAGCTCACTATTTATTATTTTGCAATTCGTGTTTATACAGTTTGTCCAAACAAATACCCTATGGAAAGTCATTGCCTAGCGACATTTCTAAAAAAAATTAGGAAAAAGACTTAGACCCCACAGTGGGGGTGATCCCCACCACCTCCACTGTTTTTTGATTGGTGGAAATTTATTTATTTGTTTACTTTTTTTTAGGCTTGCTCTCACAGCCCCTCACGTGGAGGTGGGGGTGCTGGAGTCACCCTCCACTGGGGTCCCCAGCAGTGTTGAAAAAATTATTTGGTACTCTTGGGACGCCATGTGATGATATTTTTCATCAATTACAATATATCGTATCCTTTCTTATTCTTTAATTACTTAATACAAAATTATAAATCTCACATTTTCTATCAATCATAACATTATTAAAGCACTATTGACGATAATCAGGACCAACAATTAACTTCTCTATTCTTGGACCATCTAACAATTTTTTTTTGAAGTGTGAACAGTTCTAATTTCTCCCGAACAACCTAATAATTTTTTGAAGTGTGAACCGTTTCTGATTTCTCCTGGACCACCTAATAAAATTTTTTTGATGTGTGAACCGTTTCTAATTTCTCCTCTCAAAGTGTGAAAACTGTGAGTGTCACTGTCCCATAGACCTAACAAAGAGACCGCGTTGAACATTGACTTTTATACATATACTGATTGAGACCTCTAATAGATAGAGTACTAACACTTCTAATAAGTTGAAAAAGTAAAAGAGAAAAAAAAAAAAAAAAAAAAACAATAACAGAGATACCCATCCTACTATGAGGGGAGTTAGTTCATTAGTGCTTTCCTAATATTTTTTTTTTTTTAGTGTTCCTAAGCATTTTTGTTATACATATTCTTAGCTGGGTTTTGTGGTTTTGGTTTTTGAGTGATTATTCACTAAACAAAAAAAAAAAAAAAAAAACAATAACAGAGATACCCATCCTACTATGAGGGGAGTTAGTTCATTAGTGCTTTCCTAATATTTTTTTTTTTAGTGTTCCTAAGCATTTTTGTTATACATATTCTTAGCTGGGTTTTGTGGTTTTGGTTTTTGAGTGATTATTCACTAAACAATCCTCCATAGATTCACATTGTGTTATTTATCATGTTATTTCTCTAAAACAAACTTAAAATAATAGGTCATATTATTTTAATCAATAACAAGTAAATTGAGGCATGACGTGAATTTGTCTCAAAATGAACATAATAATTTTCCATGAGATATTTGTTAAGGCATAATAGATGATAATAAATATCATTGTTTAATGAGTCCATGAAAAAAATTTTGAAATCAAAATAATAGAATATGTTATTTAAAACAAATCGAGCCTAATTCTTCATTTAGTCTTAATGCCACGTTTGTTTGACGGATTAAGTTGGATGTAATTGTTAGTGAAAAGATGGTTAGTGAAGAGATTATTAATATGTAGATTGTTAGTGAGAGGATTAAGTAAAAGTGTGTTTGTTTTGATGATAGTGTGGGAGATGGTTAGTGATGAGATTGTGAAATTATTTTTATATAAAATAAATAAAAATAATTATTTATATATTAAAAAAAAACTAAAACAAATATAAAAACAAACAGGTGCATTTGATAAAAAAAAAATTAAATTTTTTTTTAATATAAAATAGATTCAATCCATTCATTATTTTTCTAATCCTATTCAAAATCCAGCCAAGCTAATTCTTCTCTTGAGAGGGATTACTAAGCCCCCTCACCCTATTAATCTCCTCTCCCAAATCATCACCAAACAAGGTGTGGGTGGAACCCATACTCATACTAATCCAATCTGGCCTCCTATCCGCTAAATAAACATCGCCTAAAAGAGTTTTAAATGCTTATTAATTTTAGACCGAGAAAAATAAGCTTTTAAAAAAAATTATTACGTTGACCTTACTTTCATATCAAAATTAATTTTTACCTAGAATATTTATTTTTTTAATCCTTTGTTTTGAAAAAAAAAAAATAGCAATTGAAATCAAATAGGAAATGAATTCAGAAAAAGTAAAGAAACCAAAAATTAAAGGTCGGCTCATGTTTTCACTAGAAAGAATTAATTTTCTTTATAAAAAGGTTAAGATTAAAACAGTCATTAAAAAATTATGTTGTAAACATTTATGATTAATACTAAAATAGTAAGAATGAGTAATGATTTGTTTTTTTGATCGATGAAATAATATTTATTGATGAAGTATAGTTTGTAATTTGTTTAGGGTGTCTTCATTAAAAAATTATATTGTAAACATTTATGATTAATATTAAAATAGTAAGAATGAATAATGATTTTTTTTTATCGATAAAATAAAATTTATTGATGAATTGTAGTTTGTAATTTGTTTAGGGTGTCTTCATTTTGTTGCTTTGCCAACTTAGTTTGGTTAGTTATGGATCTCACTTTTGATTGGCTTAATAGTGTGTCAACGCATGTGGTATGTGTTTTTAGAACAATTCTATTATTATTTTTCATTTTTTATTAGTTAAAATATGAAAATAATGTCCTCCTTATTTTACTTAATTAATTTTTTATTTATGTGTTTCAATGCTACTCTTTATTTTACATATTTATCTATATAGTTTAAAGAGTCTCCTCAATGCTCTCCAAATGTAGCTAGTTTGCACGAATGTTGTTAAAATAGTTATCATATTAGCTAGCCCATTGGAGCAAATAAAATAACATAAAACAACTAATAAGTCTTTTTAAAGAGTCCATTAAAGATATTCTTAAGCAACCATGCTTTTTTCTATTTTCTTGTATTGATATAATTTTATTGTACCTCTTGTATACATTAATTGAGTTGTGAGTTCTTTCAATACTTCTAAATTCATTTATTACATAGAACCCTTGTTTTTTTCAGTGATTTTTGAACTTTTTGAAAGTTATTAATGTGTTTGTGAAGTTGTTAAGTTGATATAATGTTTGAATCTTATTTTTTATGATTATTATTATTATTATTATTTTTTATAGAATTCCCTAAACCCTCACTGAGGGGTTGTTTGGGAATTATATTTTTATTGATTTTTTAAAATTATTTTTTAATTTTATCAAAAAATTATAAATTATAAAAATATTTGACTTTCTACTTTTTTTTAACTTAAAAAAACGTTTTACTAGTATAAAATGATAACAAGATACGACCAACCAAGCCGCAACATTTATTCAGGAGTCTGTTTCTCCTACTCAGCTCCCTTCCTTCTCCCTCCCTCCACTCTCTCTCTCTCTCTCTCTCTCTCTCTACATATATATATAATACTAAAGTCGGTTATCATCTTCTTCCATATATATATATATATATAAAATGTTCAGTGACATTGAGAGGTACTCACAAACTCAAAACACTGTCAAAGAGCTTCTTGTGTTTTCTTGGGAAATGGAAATTTTCCCAGTAGGGTAAGTTCTTTCTTTATTTTTCTCCTACTCTTCCTCTCTCTCCTTGACAGCATTTTCCAATCTCTTTTGATTTACAGATAATTATGAAAATTTCTTCCTATTCTCTCTCTCTGTTGTTGTGTTTCTCTGTTTCAATCCATGCTGTATCTGGGTTGAGCTCTGATGGTACAACTCTGTTGTCACTCATGACCCATTGGACTTCTATTCCTCCTTCCATGAAATCAAGCTGGAACGCTTCTGATTCCACTCCTTGTTCATGGGTTGGAGTCCAATGTGACTCCAATCATCACCACAGCCGCTTTGTAGTTTCTTTAAACCTCTCTGGTTTTCAAATATTGGGTCGATTAGGACCTGAGATAGCTGAATTGACCCAATTGAAGTCCATTGATTTCGGCAACAATGGTTTCACAGGTTCAATCCCTTCTGAATTGGGTAATTGTAGTCTCATTGAATACTTGGAACTCTCCCAAAACAGCTTCACTGGTGATATACCAGAGAGCTTTGGGAATTTGCTGAATTTGAGATTCATAAACTTGTATTCTAATTTCATGAAAGGTTCAATCCCTGAATCCCTGTTTCGAATCCCACATTTGGATACTGTTTGGCTCGATGTGAACGAACTTAACGGTTCAATCCTATTGAATGTTGGCAACATGAGTGAGATTTCATCTCTTTGGCTATATGGTAATCAATTGTCAGGCACCATTCCCTCCTCCATAGGAAATTGTACCAAATTGGTAGAACTTTACTTGAATGATAATCAATTTGTTGGGGATTTCCCGGAGAGTTTGAATAATCTTGAGGAGCTAATGTATCTTGATGTTAGTAATAACAGTTTAAAGGGTACTATTCAATTAGGTTTGGGTAGTTTCAAGCAAATGGACACTTTGGTCTTGTCTTTCAACTATTTTAGCAGTGGTATTCCACCAGGGTTGGGAAATTGTAGTAGCTTAACTCAACTTGCCGCTGCTCGTTGTGGTTTAACCGGTCCTATCCCACCTTCTCTCGGACAATTAACCCAGCTGACACTTCTTTACCTCTGTGAAAACCATTTATCGGGTAGAATACCACCTGAGCTTGGCAATATGAAATCCCTTAATGATCTTCAGCTTTATGACAACCAACTTGAGGGGGAAATCCCAAGCGAATTAGGGTTGCTGAGTGAGTTGCAGAACCTTTTCTTGTATACTAACCGTTTGGATGGTGAGATTCCAATAAGTATTTGGAAGATTCAGAGCCTTGAGAATTTTCATGTGTACGACAATAATCTTTCCGGGGAACTACCTCCTGAGATCGTTGAGCTAAAGCATTTGAGAAACATTTCTTTGTTCAACAACCATTTTTCCGGAGTCATACCCCAAAGTTTAGGAATGAATTGTAATTTGACCCTGGTGGACTTCACCAACAACTCATTCGTTGGTGAAATACCTCCAAACCTTTGCTTCAATAAACAATTGAGTAAACTGATGCTGGGTCTGAATCGTCTTGAAGGTAGCATACCTTCCGATGTAGGAACTTGTTCGACTCTGACAAGGCTGATTCTTAAACAGAATAGCCTCACCGGAGCTGTTCCAGAATTTCTGAAAAATCCGAACCCTTTGTACATGGATCTTAGCAACAACAGTCTGACTGGTCCAATTTCATCAAGCTTGGTAAACCTTACTAATGTTACTTATATTAACTTGGCGATGAATAGGCTTACAGGGCTTATACCCCTGGAGCTAGGAAACCTGTTGGATCTTGAGGCTTTGAATCTCTCTCACAACAATTTGGAAGGTCCGTTGCCGTCTCAACTGTCGAATTGTACCAAACTATTGCAATTTGATGTGGGTTATAATTTGTTAAACGGTTCGATTCCATCTAGTTTAAGAAGCTTGATGGTGTTGTCCGCTCTAGGTCTAAGTGGGAATCGTTTCACCGGGGGTATTCCACCATTCTTGTTTGAATTCACAACCCTTTTGAGTATACAGCTTGGTGGAAATTTATTAGGTGGGGACATCCCCTCATCCATTGGATCTACTGGGGCGGTGTGGAACCTGAGAGCATTAGATCTCAGCCGTAACGGACTAAAGGGTCATGTTCCCGCTGAACTTGGGAAATTGGCTATGCTAGAGCAATTAGACATATCATTCAACAATCTGACCGGAACTTTGGCAGACATTGGTAAACTTTCTTCATTAACCGAGGTCAATGTCGCTCATAATTACTTCACCGGGCCCATACCAGAAACACTGATGAAGTTTCTCAATTCATCCCCCTCTTCATTCCTGGGTAATCCAGGCCTTTGTGTCAATTGCTTTGGCCTAACTTGCATTAGAAACAGCAATTTCAGAACTTGTGATCCTAAACAGATCAACCAGGAAGGTCTTAGTAAACTAAAAATTGCAATGATAGCTCTTGGATCATCACTATGCGTTGTTCTTGTGCTTGTGCTGGGTTACGTGTTTATCTGGTGTAGAAGACCGAGACAGGAAGCTGGGATCTCTCCTGAAGATGGTGCATTTGCCAAACTGATCAACAAAATCATGGAAGCAACAGACAATCTGAATGAGAGGTATATTATTGGGAGAGGAGCTCATGGAATTGTTTATAAGGCTTCGATTGAAGATGAAGTGTATGCGGTGAAGAAGCTTGTGTTTGCAGGGCTCAACGGGGGGAACACAAGTATGGTTAGAGAGATTCAGACTGCTGGGAAGGTCAGGCACCGGAATTTAGTCAAATTGAAAGACTTTTGGTTGAGGAAAGAGTACGGTTTGATCTTGTACGACTACATGGAAAATGGAAGTCTTCATGATGTTCTCCACGTGAAGAAACCACCTCCAGCTTTGGAGTGGAACGTCCGCTACAAGATAGCACTCGGAATTGCCCAAGGATTGGCATATCTCCATCATGACTGTGATCCTGCTATTTTGCACCGAGATATCAAACCGATGAACATACTTTTGGACTCGGATATGGAGCCTCATATCTCAGATTTCGGCATCGCCAAGCTTTTGGATCAATCTTCATCTTCAACACCTTCCAGCATGGTTCAAGGCACGATTGGATACATTGCGCCAGGTAATAGTTGTATAATATTATTGCTTGGCACAATATATATTTTTTTAACAGCAGCCACATGTTGATGCATAATTCATGGATAGGGCTGCAAACGAGCTGAGCCGAGCTTTATAGGGCTTGAGCTCAGCTTGTTTGTTTATTGAGTTAGAAAATCAAGCTCGAGCTCGGCTCTAAGCTCAATAATACAGAGAGAATTCCGCTTGATAATCAAGCTTGGTTGGCTTATAAAATATTATTCTATATAAGATATTAATATATAATAATATATTTATCCTATAATTTAAATAAATAATAAACGAGTCTAAAAATGTGACTCGTGGCTTGTTTATAAACATAACGAGCTGAGTTGAGTCAAGCCGAGCCTTTCCCGAGCCAAGTTCGCGAGTAGCTCGGTTCATTTGCAATACACACTAAACAGACACACATACAAAGGAAAAGAAAAAGACAAGGAATATGGATGTTGATTTTTCCATGAACTTTGACAGAGAATGCATTTACAATAAAGAAAAGCAAGGAGTCCGACGTGTACAGTTATGGGGTTGTTTTGCTGGAGCTGATAACCAGAAAGAAGGCCTCAGATCCTTCATTCTTGGAGGAACTGGATATTGTAGGGTGGGTTAGGTCTGTTTGGAACAATACTGAAGAAATTGAGAGGATTGTCGATCCAAGCCTCTTGGATGAATTCTTTGATTCGAGTATCATGGAACAAGTGACTGATGTGGTTTTGATGGCTTTGAGATGTACAGAAAAGGAGCCAAACAAAAGACCCACAATGAGAGATGTAGTGAAGCGACTGGTAGATGCAAATGTCACAGTCCGAAGCAAGCGGGCCTAGCTTTTAAACCTTCCTCGACTTTCATTATCACCCTCTTGGGAAGATCTTGAAAAGCAGTTAGTAGTTTTTTTTTTTTTTTTGATCTGCGACAGTTTGTTGTTAGTTAGATCCTGTTTTTAGTGCTGTCATAAGCGATCTGTTTCTGCTATATATGCAGAGGTGACTAGCATTTTTTTTTTTTTTTTGCACTTGAATAGATGTTTCACGAAGTTGGAATGAGAAAATTAATTTGCAGATCTTATCAGTTGTATGATAATTCTGGATTTATGTGACTTGTATTAGTATATATAGCTGAAGTGTTCTGTAACTTTTCCCATCTCAATTCCTGTGAGAAAACACAGGAATACTGAATAGAGTACTGTTGTATTTTCATTGCATTGACATTATTGACTTGTATGTTTATTGCAATTTCAATGAGAGCCAAGAAGGATCTATATAGAACTTCAAATGGAACATTATTCTAGTATTTGGGTTTTGAGGAACGTAGTTACCCAACTACTCTCCATTCAAGTTGCAGATAAATTGACAGAATACCATTGAAAAAAAAAAGAGAAAAAAAAATGGAGGTTTATGAGTCCACTACTTAGCAGAGCATGTTGCATTCGCAGGTATGATTTCCAGGGAGGCAAGTCCCGGCCACAGCTCCCTTAATTTTGTCTACGCATGCCCAGAAGCACTTGCTGTTATCACATCCCTCAAGGTTTATGTTCTTCGAGCAGTCAATGACATTTCCTCTGTCGCCTGTCCAACGATCATTTACAACATGACTAATTGTTATTTTTAATTTATAGTTGTAACTTGTGGTCGTTACGCAGCTAAAAAAGAAACATGTTAAACTGAGAAATTTCTCAGTTATGTGTTGAAATACTCAACAGGTATAGTAACATTGGCAGGTTTGTTGCGGAGGCAGAAGGCCTGTTTGGTGCTCTTATAGTGTTGGTGACATGCAGAGATGCACTTATTGCCATCACATTTTCCCAGCTGTATGTCTTCTTCACACTGCTTTGCCACCCCATTTTCCTTCATTTTCCCACCTGCCAAACAACCAATAACAGCACACAAGAAAGCCAATTAAGTCAGAAAATATGCAATGATTAGTGAATTCCCTTTTTTAGAATTAAATTACTATGAATTTGAGAAATTTTTAATTTAAATTTGTGAAATTAAATGAGATTAATTTGTGGAACTAGTAGTTGTGAAATTAAATGAGGTCTTGATGGTTCTTTTCTTTAATATATAAAAAGAGTCAAATGTAGCATTTGATTTTACTTGTGAATTTTTGGAACTAGTTATTTATGAAATTTAATGGGGCCTTGATGATTCTTTATTTTGAAGAAGTAAGAGTCAAATGGACAATTTCATTTTTATTTAGAAACTCGAAAATAAAACTAAAAATTATTATCACATGATTTTATCATATTTATCTTAGAAAAAATTAGTAGTTTATCATTAAAATTATACTTTTCATCCACTTTTTAGAAGACAAATATGATTAAATCATTTTTAGTATTATTAGATCAATACATATGTGTGTATATAGATATATATATTCACAAGACTTAAAAGATGAAAGAATCAAATTATCAAAATAAAACTCATGAAGACTAGAGATAGCCTCACAACCTTAGATAGATTTGAAAAAACTTATCCCCTTCCCCTCCATCCGCTGCCCCCGCCACCAAAAAAAATAAAAATAAAAATAAAAATCGGTGCATTGGAATGATCATTCTTGTAGAATGTTCACTAAAAAAATAATAAAAATATTATTAGAGGACAGCCATTTCATATGAAACTAAAAAACAATCATTCTATACTAATCAATCTTTATTCTAGCAACCCAATATTACTTTGATCTTCAGAATCAACCATTTGTCTATCAATTTGGACAAAGCTTTGACAGAAATAGACAACACATACCATGGATTCCATCAAGGAAAAGCAAGCATAAAATGGCACAGCAAGCAAAGATCTTCTTCTCCATAGTCTTGTCACTTAAATTATTTTAGAATGACATATATATACTGTCAAAATTATATATACAAGCCGGGAAATTTTTCAATATTGAATAATTTCGCAATATAAGCAGTATAAAATCGAAGCATGGCATGTGACGTCATGTTTGCATTCAAGGACGGACGCAAGATTCTAATATCGGGGGGCGCGAGTGTATATGCAATCAAAAAATTTGTCATGAGCATGTGATATACAATATCATTTTCTACCCAAATATCACAAAAATATATAATTATATGTTTCCATTCATCGTATATAATTGCAAAATATTATCAAAATACAATTGGATATGTTCTAGTAAATCCATAATAATTTTCAAAAAAGCAACTATTTGCTTTACATATCTACTTAGGCATCTAAAATTGTGCTCGACGTTCTTTCATAACATAAAAGCATCTATGATGAAATCTACATCAAAATCTCGAGCAATGTCTTTCTCAACATATGTTAACAAGTAACTTGAAAGAAAATCATCCTCCATCCTGTTACGCAATCTAGTCTTTACAATTTTCATGGCTGGAAATGCACGTTCTGTTGTCACCGTAGAAACTGGTAAAGTTAGAACAAGACGAATCAATCTATTGACAAGAGGATAAATTGTTGACTTCCTTGCTGTTGCCAACATTTGGCACAATTTAGAAATTGTCAACAACTGCTGAAACTCAGGATGTTTAAGGATGTCAATCTCGTAATTTTGCAATTGGAATTTCAAATGAATTTTTTCTTGCTTTGTAAAGTCATTAGGATAAAATTGATTTGCAAGCTTGCATATATCTTCAATTTTGAACGAACTGTAATCATCCCTGGGATCTAAAGCAGAGCTAAGAATAAGCAACTCCATCACATTTTCTTTGAATCTGTTGTTCAACTCTTGTAATTGAGAATCACATATAATTGTAAAAATATCAACCCGAAAATGATGCTCAATAGTAATGTAATCTCTTTGGTGACAAGCACGACCTCTACCAGATGTGTAACGAGCACTCATATTAGGAATATCTATGTCATATTTTTCACAAAATAGTTGAACGTTCTCCAACAAAGAAATCCATCCATCTTCTCTATATTTTTGAACAAGTGCTTTTGTAGTTGACACTAGATGCATTGCATTCAATATATCTTGGGATTTACGTTGCAAAGCTTGGCAAAGATCTTTAGTAATCCCCATAATATCTCTCATAAGATGTAAGATAACACACAGACTCAAAAGATGTAATCTTATCATAAACTCCATCTGCATCTGCATGTTGAGTAGAGGTGGCTCCATCATTGATGACATTACTTAAGACTGAACAAGTTGCACCAAACATATTTATCAAACAGGAAATAGATCCCAAATGAGAACCCCATCGAGTATCTCCAGCCCGTTTCAATGTCCCAACTTGATTTTTGCCTTTACCAGTTTCGACTTCATCAATGGCAAGTTTTGCTGCAATTTCTTTAGCTTGAGCAACTTTCAACTGGTCATGCCTTTTACAAGAAGAGCCACATAGATTAACTATGAAAGCTAGATAAGAAAAAAATTGAGCAACGGGTATAACCTCTCTTGTTGTCGCTACCAATGCTAATTGGAGTCGATGAGCAAAGCAATGAACATAATACGCAAAATGACAGTCATGAAGAAACAAGGCCTGCAACCCAGTCCACTCACCACGCATATTACTAGCACCATCATACCCTTGACCACGAATATTTTGTACACTGAGATTATGACGAGATAGGACAATACATATTTCTTCTTTCAGAGTTGCTGATGTTGTATCCGATACATGAACTATGTCAAAAAAATGCTCCTTTATAAAACCATCTTTATCAACAAATCTTAGAACAATGGCCATTTGCTCCCTCTTTGATTCATCTCGAGCTTCATCCACTATAACGTAAAATTTTGCTTCATCAATCTCCTCACGAATGAATCTTTGTATTTTGTCAAAGAAAATACTAAGAATCTCTTTTTGAATTTTATGCGAGTAGTATAAAGCATTTTGAGGAGCTTTGTGTAACACAACATCTGCCACATCCGCATTATAAGATGCCAAGATATTTATCAATTCAATAACATTCCCACGATTATTAGAATCATGACCTTCATCACGACCTCTAAATGCACAAGCTTGAAATGTAAGCCATTTGACAACATATATTGTAGTCTTCAACCGCAAACGGTTTTTTGCAACTTGTTGAGAAGTTTGTTTCTCAACTATCTTCTCAATGTGTTGCGCTTGATTTGTTAAATCATGGCAAGATTTAACAGCAATTTTGTGCGATGAATTAGGACCCTTTCCCATATGAGTTAAGAAAGCACAATTCTTCTCACTATTGACTTTCTTCCATGAAGAAAATTCATCAGAAATGAAAGCGCTAGAAGTAGTGCGTCCATTCGGTTTTGTAAAAAGATAGCAAGGAAGACAAAAAGCACAATGTTTGGTTGGAGAATATTCTAGCCAATCTGGAAATAACTTGTTCCAAGAAGCTAGAAAACGATGCCCATTCTTCTCTTCAAAAGGATGGTTGTTAGGTTGGTATGATCCAAATTTGGTGTAAGCTCGTTGAATCTCATCACATTGAGATATCAAATAATCCCAAATTTGTGGTCGTAGTCCTGGATCCCTTACCAAAGAAGATGTATAAACTTCTTTGGATTCTATTCTAGGCACTTTACAAGGACGTTGTTCAGGAATTGAAGCTTCAACATTATTAGTGGAAGGTTTTGTAGTTGCATTAACTTCTATATCTTGAGAGCCGCTTTTCTTAAAGAAAGAATCAATTTTTTTGTTCACCATAATTCACCTAACATTCAGCTCAATTTTATTTAAGAACCTGAAATTTATTAAACAATTTTTGTTACTCACTAGGTAAAAAGCACACTAACAATATAATTTAATCTAACAAACAAAGGACATGTCATTTTCAATGGGTAAACAATAAGAATCTTCAGAGTAATAGAATTTCTAACCCTAACGAGGTGAATAGCATCCAAATTGAAGTGAATTGCAATGAAATTAAAGATATTTAAGCCTATTCATCTCTGAGAAATTAAAGATATTTATTATTATTATTATTATTATCATTATTATTATTATTTAAGCCTACAGTAAATGTTTGGTTTTGCAACCAAAGCAAGAGAAGATTTCTTTCGGAGACAACAAGTCTATTATAATTCAAAATTGATGCGTTTTGAACTCAATACCGATTAATTATATATGCAGTAATAATATTACACATGTAGAATTTTCTATAAAAAAGATATGTACCATTGAAATTCTAATTATATATAATCTGCAAAAAAGATATGTACCATTGATATTAATTACATATGCATAAGCAATCTACAATTAATTTTATTACATACAAATCTCTATGTATAGATATGTAGAAATTATAGAGTAGTTATAAATGTATATAGGATTAAATTGCATACCCAGAATAGTGTTTTGAAGGGAAGGTAGAATTCAAGAAGGCTTGCAAAGAAACCTCTAGTGTTGCTTCAATTCAATGATAATTCCAAAACTAAGAGAGAGAGAGAGAGAGAGAGAGAGAGAGAGAGAGAGAGAGAGAGAGAGAGAAGGGCCTTAGAGAATTAGGTTAATGAGAATTTGGGGATCTTTTCAACTCAAGTGTGGGGCAAGTCTTATTTATTTATTTTTTATTTCATTTAGTTATAACCAAACAACTAAAAAATTTAGACCCTAATCAGATAAAAAAAACTTTAACATATTAATAAATAAATTCTCAATTATTTTAACATTATTAAATTTAAAATAAAAAGTAATCATACTTAAAAAAATAAATTATTATTATTATTATTTTTAGAATTTATCAAAAAAAATAATTAAATTTTTTAATTTTAAAATAGAAAATTTAGGGGGTGGCGATTCTTAATTTTTTTACAAAAACTTTGGGGTGGCGAACCTATATAATTTTAAAATATTTATAATTTTAATACTATATCTAGGGAGGTTTTTCAAAACTTTGGGGGGGCGATTGCCCCTGCCAGCCCCCCCTCGGTCCATCCCTGTTTGCATTTTTATGTAGTTCTTCTCCGATAAGTTTCTCTTCGTACTTTATCTTTCCATATCCATTTATACCTCTTTTGTAGGTTCCAATTCAGACTTATATTGATGATCTGAACCATCAACTTTTGTAGGCCTCACGATAAAAGTTATTCATACAAAAAGTCAGTTTTATTGGACAACTATAAATACAGAAATAAATTGTATTTTATTTTATAAAACGGATGGTTTAAGTTTTCAATGTATTTGCCGTTCATTTTATAGAACAAAAAGTGATTTGTTCTTGTGTTTATAGATGTATGATAAAATTATTATTTTTTTTTTTGCATAGATGACCTTTATTTATTTTTTACAGGGATTATCTATTTTATAAAATGAATTGTTTAAAGTTCAATCCTATTTGCTATTCATTTTATAGAACAACATATCATTTATGTATATTGACCATTATAATTTATGTAATCTGGGGATTTAATTACCATAATTTATGTAATCTGTGATCTTGGGATTTAATTAATATAATCTTTACAAAAAAAGTTAGGAACTCAGACTTAGGAACACAAAATTTGTTTAAAATCAATTTGTGTGATTAAATTAATAAAGTGTGAGATTTATGAGTGAAATAAATTTGAACAATTAATTGCTATTTCTAGGTAAATTTTGGGTTTGAGAACATACTATTTTAGTAATTTTTTTAACTTTTTGGTTAAAATATGAGTAAAAAAAAATGTTTGAAATAATTTTTTGACATTTTAAAGAAAAAACGTACAAAAAGTTGAGTGAAAATGAAAATGAAAATTTTGCATTTTTTGTATAGTTTGTTAATTTTTAAACTTTTTTATTGACTAAATGACTTTTAAACTAAAATGTTTACTCCCCAAACAACTTAATGTAATTCCTGCAAAAATAGATAATCAAGAATTTCTTTCCCATTCTAACCTGTTACAAAAACTAAAATTATTAGGATCCAGAATCACATTTGAAAAATCTAGAAATCCCCTAGATGTTGATTTGTGATTATGTATCAATTTTAAGCAGTATATAACAATCCCAATCAAACAATCAAGACAAATTGACACAATGATTTTACGTAGAAAAACCACAATTGGACACCTCCAATTGTAATAAAAAAATCACGGACAACAGCCACAAAACAATCCACTAAGAAGATATAAAGGAATTACACAGGTATACTCTCAATTACCTAGCGAATCCACGCCTGAATTGAACCAACCTCTATGTGTCTCTTCTAACCCCGTCTTCACCTCGGAATTGCCTTGACGATGAGCCACTCCGGAATCCACCAAAGCCTCAAGCTCGAATTCTTCAGAATCCACCGAAGAACAACTCTCTCTTTTATGTAGAATAAACAAACAAACCTTTGATGTATGCTTCTTAAACCATGAGTTGAATACTCAATGAAAACATCAAAGAAAACTAGCAAAAAGTCCCCAGATATAAACCTTAGAACCCAAAAAGAAGATCTGGAGAAGTTGTCCAAGCTTTGGGAGAAAACCAACTACTTATAGAAAACCAAAGTAATCCTAGTTTTGGAAGAAAACCAATTCCTTATAGAAATCCAAGAATCTGTGTTCGTGCGGTCCGCTCGAGCGTGGGAATTCCCGCTCGAGCGGAGGCTTCAAAATTGTGTGATTCATATAGGCTTCATGCTGCTTCACGCTTGAATGGAAGTTTCCACGCTTGAGCGTCGAATCACACAATCTAGTACTTTTTCAGGCGAAGCAGAGATGCTGTGAGCTTGTAATCCCCGCTCGAGCGTCACTTTTCCCGTTCGAGCGGGACGACCAAAATTGGAAAATCTGAAAAACTAGATCCTGTTACAACCTCAGTTTTGATCCATGGAAATTGACAAAGGCACGATTCGGGTTGGATTCGTATCTAATAAACTCATAGCCTCACTGAAATAAAAGGTGCGAAAACAAATACAACTGAAAGGAGTTTTGTCAAACGGGGTTGCCAAGAATAAAACCTAACAACATTCTCATTACTCAGTTTACTATCATTCAAACATAGCCTTTAGGTTTAGGAAACTAACAGCTAAGCAAAGCCTTAAACCCAAACAACCAATTTAGCAGACCAGCAAAACAGCTAACAGAACAGCTGAAGCAGCATAGCAGCATAAACAAAGCAACCACAGAACTATATGGGAACTAAGCAGACAAAACAGAACAGATCCAAGCTCCTCTGCTTTATACACCAGAACCAATCAATGACAGCACCTCTGCTTTATACACCAGAACCAACTCCAAGAGCAATACCAGCAGCAAGGATATTAAAGGATGTTGTTGAGTAGTAATTGCTATTCAAAAAAAGAAAATATTATATAAATTAACATATTATATATATATATATATATATTGATGTGACATGCACTCATGAGACTTTAAAAATTGATAGATGTGTCATGCAATAATAGAGTTTGGAAAATTGAAACATAACTCATTTTAAAGATGTCACATGTTAATAAAATAAATTTATAAGATTTATTTGGTATTATTGAGAGATAAGGTCATACGGATGAGAGTAAGACTTTGTTTGGGAATGTAAGTTTTTAGTTAAAAAGTCATTACAAGCTACGAAATTATTTTTTCTATTTTTTTACAAGTCTTTTTGTAAAAAATTAAAAAATCATTAAAAAAGTTAATTTCCAAACATCCTCTGAGTGTAGAAAATATTGTGTTTGGTTGCTCAATAAAAAAAGGAAAACTACACCTAAGATACAATGGTCGGACTGGCTATCCAATTCAACATATATCCCATGATAGATAATCAATATTGCGTTTGTTTGCAACCAAACTGGATTTGGGATAAGGCATAACCTCTCCTACAATCTCATGTTTGGCTCGTGGATGAATAAGTGATGAAATGAATAGGGAAAATTACCGTTCTGTGTATTATTAGAAAAATAATTACATATTTATTAAAAAACTTAAAATTTTAATAATTAATATTTATAAAATTTATCACTAATATGTAATTAATTTGTAAATCCGCTTTGTACATAAAAAAGGGAAGAAATTGAAGAGAAATGTATAAATATTTCTTTCTTTGATTCAACATCATCAAATCATGCCGATCTTTACTTGCACTTGAAATTCACACCATTGTCACCATCATTATTATCACCATCACTATCACTATCACTATCATTATCCCTGTCCCATCGAATAGAGATGGAGATAGAAAAGGAGGAGGAGGAAATAGGTGATGATCATCGTCACACAAAGTTTCGGAACTAATGTGACATAGACAACTGTAAAAGTCAGATAGACGCATTACGTCTACAACTTGTAGGTCACTATTATAATCGTCAAATGAATATAGATCCCTGCACACATCCCAGTCACAATCATAATCGTCAAATGCATTCTTCAGTAGTTTATCGCACTCCTTATAGTCACCTTCATAATCACATTTACAAACACAACCCAATTAATTCATACACCAATCATTACATATTACAACATTCCATCTACTAATTTCGGAATTTTAAAATTGACAATCAGATAATCTTTCAATAATTTCTTAGAATGATTCAAATTTGAGATCTTAAATCTTATTCTAAAATCTTTAGCTTAATTATAACATGTTGGGATTACAACATTATATTCATTACCTCACATAAAAATAATTTTTTTAAATATAGAATGATGTGATTGTAATTCATTAATTTTAAACTAACAGTTAGTTTGATATAAGGGGTAAAAGAAGAAGAAAAATGATTGTGCTTTATCACCTAGGTGAGAAAA